CCTGCTTATACTTGCAGACTCAAATGGAATATGTAGCAGCTGAAAGCAAGTTGCCAATAAATTCAAAAGGGAATTTGCAGATTATGAGTGATTTGAAATTCGCCCTAATATCAATTTGGACTTGCTAAATGGCTGTGGAACCTGCAGAAGTAACCAAATTTATGATTTGCCGCCAAACACATTTGAATACACTCATATGCATAATCTCATTTGAGTTCAGCAAAGCAGAGCAGCACAGTCAAGGTCAATAGCAGTGGCCAAGTCAGCATTTGACATTTCGTTTTTGGTTAACACAATAAAGCGCTGTCATAATTGAATCGCAGCAGCAACAGCGGCAACATCAGCAGCCCAGCTGCAGCAGCAACACAGCAACAAGTGCGGCGGCAACAAGTGCAATTTATTGACCGCGCACTGAACTTGAAAAGTTGTGCAAGGCGATGGCAATCAAAGGGGCCGGATGTCCGTGTATTTGGGCCAAGCGAGAAATGGCCAATTAAGTGGCCAATAAACGGCAGAGGGAAACCCCGATGCCTGTAGCCCGCAGCCCGAAACCAGTAACCCAATCAATTTGGGGCCGGGCTGCCAATTAGGGGGCATTTGTTTTGGGATGCACTTGCACCGAATGCCCCGACATTTGCATGTTTGGTTAGCCCCAACATATTTGTGCATTCATACATGCATATATATGCATGGCAATGTGTGTACAAACGGGTTTATGGCACTTGGCCAGGCCGAGATCCATTATGATGGAAATTAGCCTCATAATCGTAATAGTGGGTTTCGGGTTCAAGTCTGCCCCAGCCGAGTGGTGGCCATTGTGTGGCTGTGAGCCAAATCGAAAACAATTAAGACTATTTAAATCAATTGAAAGCTGATGTATCGATGTCACCGGATGCCCTGAACTTGAAAAATTACCATTTAATTCGCCAGCTCAATGCGTTTTGTTTTTTCTTCGATGCCCATTATTAATACGCTTTTAATGGCTCCAGATTGCGAACCAATAACCGATCCAAACCCGATTATCCGAATGCTAATGGATGTGGATAGCACGGCGAGTGTTTGCTGGAACTTGTTTCCAATTGAATTTTAGCGTTATTTTTGCTTAATTAGTTGACACGCTCGGAACAAAACAGCCCAGCAAAACGGACAAAAAAAGAAAGGCTAAGCCAATATCAATAAATTATATATTAACTTCGATCTGCTTTGCTTGGATCAGATCTTCGTATCTTACAATCTCCCGCCGGAGGGACATTCTAATAAATGAATCAAACGAGCTGTAAGCGCGATCATTTGTCAACCAGTTGGGTTCGTTATCATCAGATAATGTTGATATATATTCGCCCGATCCGTTCGGAGTCGAGTCTCAGTTATTATTTGCCTTTGTTTATTTTTAAATATTTGTTTAATATTTTATTTTCGGCTGTGCTGTCCGTGCTAAACGTGTTTCTGGCCATGTTCTATGCACGAGCTTATCACTCTTGACTGGTTTATCGCCAACCGCGCCAAGTTCGCTCGAATAATGCCCGAATCTGGCCCGGAGCTAATTCCGGTTCGACGAACCTTTCACTTATTGGAGCTACGCGAGTTCCACAGTTCCACAAACTGTTAAATAATCGAGTTGACGTGCTTCAGATGATTTGATCTATTGTCGTCATTTATGGTTGTTTAAGAAAATGTTTTGCACCCAATAGTTGCACCCACATAAGGGGAAACTTTATATATAGGGTATTTATGGAGTATTCAATTTACAAGTTTTTTATATGATCGCTATTAAAAGTTATTTATAGCAAATTTCTTTAATTTGTTTTCGCCGAGTGTCCTATGCGATTTTAATTTATTTATGGTAGTTTAAGAAAATGTTTTTATAGTTACTTTATGCGTATACACCCAAAAAAAAATCCGAAAGTTTACATTTAATGAGCGTTGTATTAAAAGTATACTACAGCTAGTATCAAACTGTCAGTATTAATTCAAAACTAAATAATGTAGGGAGCAGACTCAATAGTGTTAGGTTAAGACTAAATAGTGTTAAGTTTATGCCCTGAGTTTAATTTCTATACCGAAGTTTCTATTTTCGTTCCTGGTGTGAGGCCAGGATGCTCTGGTTTGGAACCTGGACATTTCGAACAGAAAAAGTGTTACCGCTTTTTAATGCTATTCGGACGCGTTAGTATTTTAAGGGTTTTACATTAGTGTATTTTGTAAACGACGCTGCGGTCTGTTTAAGGTTTGTTTGTGAAAATTACTTGTGAAAATTTTAATATTTGCTTATTTTGGGCTTATTTGAAATGTAAGTACATTAAAATTGCGCCTTAGTGCACAACTAATGAGTAAATTCTTTTCTTTTTACTGACACCACCTTGAATTGCGCTCCAGATGCCGGGAAACTAAGGATCTTGCAATTGGCTTGCATTTTTTCTGACCGCGGCCAGCGCAATGTTAACTTCAATATCAGCGTCCTCGACCAAGCTTCGGTATTCATCTGGACGGCGTTCACTCTGGAGATGATCAGCGACATAAGCGGTAAAACGGCTGCATTTGCCCAAATATGCATACATACGTACATATTTTGTACATGTATTGTATTTATGTTTATTTGTTAAATTTAAAATTACCTTCAGTAATTTATAAAAATGTAAAAAATATTTGTAATAATATATGAAAAGTACATAATAACTTTTTTTGAATTTTGTCTCTTTAATACGGGGTATAATATTTATACTGGCATTATACTAAATAGTATACAAAATAAACTAGCAGCCTAAATTTCAGTACACTGAGTGAGTATAAACTGTATACTCGTTAGTTTAAACTTGACAACTTCGAAAGTTTCATTTTTATACTTTCGAAGTCCATTAGTTTAATACTCAGAGTATCGAGAAATTTTTGACACTCAATAGTTTACTTTTAATGTAGAAATAGTTTACTTTCTATGATCATTTTTTTTTGGGTGTATAGGATATCTATGGAGTATTCAATATTGAAAAGTTACTTAAAAATAATAATATTCAAAAATTAATTTATTTTCGACGAGTATCCTATGCAAGTTTAATTTGCATAAATTCGTATTAATCTTTCCACAAATGTGTACACAAGCCTTAACCCCTTGGTGGCCTGAAGCCATAGCCCCTGGCTGTTCATGAACATTTTGGCCAACCGCAATTAGTAATTGTGGCTAAGCTGGGGTCTCGACTTGCAATGAACAGCCCAAACCGCATAATGAAATTGGAATATTTATTTGCCTACTTTATTAATGTCTGCTCTTGGATTTCAATATTATATTTATTGAAAATGCTGTGAGTGTGTGTGAGTATGTGTGGTGTGTTTGTCAATGACCGCATTCATTCATTAATAATTTAAGTTGGTTGCCTCATTAATTTCGCCAAAGCTGAGCCCAAAGCAACACCCACAATTGTTGTAAGCCATTCGGTTTTTCTCCTCTATTTATAGACATCATAATTGTGAGAGATGCGCACACTGTGGCGCAATGGGCATACATATATGTATATGTAATATGATTAATTATCGTTTTTCGGAATGGAACATTTCAAACGCCACTTAACAGTTTCCATTGCAAACATCGGGGTGATAATTGAAATGTATGTGTTTTCGATGCATCTCCTTTGCATCCACGCCCATTGCAGACATGCCCACATGAAATTTAAACGAATATTCACAAAAGAGGAGAGGCGCTGATCATATTAAGTATTATCTAATTTCAGCTTCGTTTGAGGCATTTGTTTGGGGATTTTTTATGCATGATTTTATATGTGTTTTATCTGTGTTTTCTCATTCATTCAACTGGTTTGGCATCTCTAAATTTGGTGAAACAAACTCGTTATGAGCTTTCGATGACGCTTAGTCCGGCAATTAATGCACTAATCTTAGTGGGAGTCGCTGGGAAAAGAACTCTGCTCCGAACTAGAAGACCTGGCCAATGAATCAATTTACAGCCAATATGGGAATGGCTGCGGATATTTATAGGCCGACGGGGCTAATGAATTGCTTCCACCTGCCAAGTTTTGGACACACAACAGACCAAAAGACGGGCATTCGTTGTGACAGGAATTTCTATTTATGATTAGCCAAAAGCCAAAACCAAACCGAACCAAAAGCCAATTAAAGGCTTCTCGTGAAATTAAGTCATCCAGCGGATGATTCCCATGATTGGAGTGGCGGTGAAGTGCAGCTGCCCGAATTGGGAAATTTAATTAACATGGAAGTATGTAAATGTAATTTGTAAATAAGTGCAGCGCAATTTCAATTTATTTGCCATTGAAATTGCTGAATTAAGTGTTTGTTGAGCCGAATACTTTGCAATTAGGAGTGCAAAAAGATTTCAAGGGCTGATAACGAAACTATTCTTTAACCGAGAGAGGTACATGGACTTTTTAGAGTGTTTTGCTGGGTTTATTTAGATGTTTAAATCAAGCTTTAACCATAATGCAATATATAGGTTTATAATGATTATACGAAATTATTTATTGTAGTGTTTTTTTAAATGTTGTTATTATTTTTTATTAATAATTGCATTTTCTTTGTAGTTTTTAAGCACATTTTTAAGACTTAAGATCATTATTAAAAATATTAATTTTGTAAAATTAATAAAATTAATTTTGTAAAATTTAATAAGGACTAAATATATGTATATTTATATAACTATTACCAAAGAACTCTGCTTATTTAGATGATTTTTGTCCTGGTTGCAGAGTATTAAAGACCACCAATGACCCGCAGTTTATTTTGTAATGATTTTTTGCTGTTTTCTTTTTACGAGGGTCATTAAAGGCCAGGACAATGTGAAACGAAAAAAAAAATGCTATATCGGTTTTTAGCCAGGGCTCGGGGTTTCTGTTCTATTTGCTGTTAAAATCCTTATCTAATTTATGCAAATTCCATATCAGTTTAATGACACAACCAGCGACGATTCGCGCACGATTTGTGGCGACTAATTTGTTTAATTGTAATTAGCTGTAATTGGTTTATGTTAATTGCCTCACCTCACACAGACTTCAATTGCGGATAAAGTACGTCCCTTGGCCAGATGTTGTTGCTTTCGGCCGAGTTGCATAAATGTTTAACGGCTAAATGGCGCGCACACACATGAATATAGAAATTGGTTAGCAACAATTGCATTAATGGGCTTTAATTGCCGAAAACGCACACACGGAGAGGCGAAACTTGACTGCAAACTTGTTCGAAAAAAGTCAAATGGTCAAGCTGCCCAGCGGAGTTGATTAAAAATTTTGTAAAATGCCGCCAGTAGGTTTAAATCTTTCGATGCTCTGTCCCCGTGCTTTTTTTATTTTTATTTTTTCTCGCGTTTTCTCGCGGGATAAACAGAAGAAGCCACTCAAATATTGCAGCAGCGAGCCAGAAGATGAGCAAAGCGCACGCCAAAAATCCGACTTATGCAATTTCTTTTTGTTTATTTCCAATTTCTGCCTCGGCACCTTCTTTGGTTTCTTTCCTCACTTTTCTCCGCTATTGTTGTTGAATGCACATTTATTTTACACACACATTTTCGCTGTTTCTCGCTGTTTTTTTTCGTTATTTTTGCAAACTCTGCTGTTTCGTCGCGAAATTGTGTCAGAATAGCAAAACTGGAGTGTTTTTTCGGCGCTCCGTCACTTGTTAATTCGAGTGCCCCTTGCAGTCGCACGGAGTCTGCGTGCAGGGCGGAAAAAGCGCAGCGGCAACCTGCGACAACCCACCGACAACATGCAACATGCAGCGACAGCGGACAAGCAACAAGCAACAACCAACAACCGACAACCGACAACCGACGCGAACGACTGGCTGAAAGAAACTGATCGATGCGAAGACAAGGCGAAGAGTTTGGCTGAGTCGGTCAGTCGGTTGCTTCTTGTTTTTGTTGTTCGTCTATATGGCGCTATTGCTGCGATCGCGATAAACGGTATTCGGGCCTGACCCATAGCTAACATACTTTTGGGCCGAACATGATCTATTGGTTAAATCGCTTAACAACTCTTTCAAGATCTTACAAAGTATTAATATAGGTCATTTTAAAATTTATCGCTTTAACAATTATTATATTTTATTAAAAAAAATATTTTTGAAAATTAAAAGAACATTTGAATTTTAATAGTCATTTTAAAATAAATATATTTTCTTTTTATATTAATCAAAATATCAAAACAAACAATTTTATTATATTTACAAATGCTTAAGTATCTAATTAAGTTAAATAAGCGAATAATATGCTCTTAAAATGATCCTGCTTACATGGGTTCAGTGAAAAATAAAATAATATTTAAAAAGATTTGTTTTAGATAATATGTGATTGGCATTTACATTTATTAATTTAATGCAATTTCACAAATGCAAAGACATATAGGAGCGGTTAAAATGAAAGTAGTGCCACAGTCCTTCATCGTCAAAGGTTGGTTATTGTAATTTATACTATGCACTATACTTGAAGACGCGATTAAAGAAAATTTTGGCTTAAGGAAAATGAAAACAAAGGTCTGGAGTTTTCTGCACACTCATCAATCTTTTCATTCACATCAAGAATTTTTATCGAAATGGATACACTTTGACAACCTTATCCATCGCGCTTAGAAACATTCGTTCTTTAATAGGGGTTTATGTATTTTTAAAAGCTTTGGCCGCCTGTTCAGCTATTTAATGCCTGGCCGTTGACTTCCGTTCATAGCGAAATGGCTAGCCTTTAAGCCATCCGACTGTTAGCTGGAAATTTAAAGAGCGCCCGAAAGAATGCTTCGAGTTAATGGCGCAGCGTCTCGCCGCTTAACCGCACTCACAGGCGTGTCCATAAAAGTGGCAACAGCCCCACAGTCACCACCCTGCTATTTGGCCACTCAGTCATTTAGCCATTGACGTCACTGAATTAAGGGCACGAGGGGCGGTTGGGCGGAGGTTTAGTAGCGCAGCGAGTGCAGCATCCTTCTGGTCGGGTCCTTTATTAAAGTGGAAGTAATAGCGCATAAAACAATAACAAACCGAAATGGCCAAGCACTCGGGTGTGGTTAGGCGAAATTTGTTTCCTTTTGGCCATGATTGAAAAGTCGCCTAAGCCGGGAAATGTTGCACGTGCTCATGATTCAATTAGGCCAGCGAAATGTCATTGTCTTCCTTTGATGACCTTTGGTCAGCGGTCACCTGAAGAGCGCTGGCGCTTTAGCTTTTTTTCGGCTGACTTTTAGATATTAGAAAAAATTAGAAAAATTTTAAAAAGCTTAGCTCTACCTATCTTACTGAACAAAACGTTTATGAGTAATAAGTAATTATAATAATAATATATACACAGAGAAAATATACAACGTTTTAGGTGCCGTTTTCATATAAAAAGTTTTAAAAATAAAAAAGAAAATGTTTTAAAAATGCAAAGTAAAACAAAAACCCCTTATTTTGCATCTAAAACTTTTGATAATTTTCTCTGTGTATGGCAAAATTATAAAACTCCCAATCTCGATCAAAAATGACTCAAGATAAAAAAATTGAGAAAATATACTGTATTTAGAAAACAAACAAATGAAACACGTAAATTTGCATTTCAAATAAGAGTTAAGGAGATAACTAGATTTTATTCAATTTAAGTTCCTTCAAATTCCAGATGAATTATTTTTAATACTATCCACCTAAAACAAAGACAACACTGCAGCTGGCGGAGGAATTTTGTTTGGCTGCTTTGGTTCGGTCTTATGTCACCATCGTCTGCGCATGGCTTCCTTGCAGCGGGACGTTAAATTTCAAATCCTATTTATTTGCCAATTTTACATTCGAGTGCACAGGCAGCAGTGACGTCAGCGCTCCCATAGGCGCCACAGCAGAAGCCAAAAACTATTCACACCGACACAGCGCACAAACACACAGACACAGACTCACGGCCCAAGGCGGTGACAAAAAAAAAACGCATAATTTCATTACCAAAGCTCGGGGTTTGTTTTCAATGATGTCATATGGTCGCTGCGCTAGCCGGAAGTCCAAAAAGAGTCCTTGCTCCGCGCAGGCGCTTTGAAGCAACACTCTCTCTTTGCTCCTTCCTGTGCATCTCTTAGCAAAGGACTTGTGACGTCACGGTTCTCTTTGAGGAAAACCCATCGTCCTCGCGATGTCTATGTGTGTGTGTGGGGGGGTCAGCAGCTGTTGTTATGGACGTGTCTTTAGTGGTTCATTTGCCACGATTTAACGCCGCCCGATGCTTAGTGTTTATCCTCAAAGCCCCGTTACTGGTCGCCAGGACATCATCGGGATTGGGATCAACGACCCCGCCGAGCTGGGGATTGAAATATTAAATTACCAGCCAGCTTTTTGATAACATTTTGCAGTAATTTGTGGAGAATGTGTTTGTATTTGATTTGCCCCAAAGGCTTTTCCGTCCCCCCAGCACATGTAATGTAAGGCAAACAGTGTGCAAATTTTCTTTGTCAATACTCGTAGCCATTTGCCATTGCCATTTCCATTCCCATTTGCCAACCCCCATCGGCCATTAGTGCAGGGGCATAAGGAAAGCCAAGCAAACAAACAAATTCCGAGTTAAACAAGCAAGGATATCCCCCCTGAAGTCTGCAGATACGATTGACATTGACGCAGAAGTAAAATAAATCAAAACACACAGTAGTATTCCTGTAAAATGTCAGGCGGGTTGGAAAATATTCCATCGCCAGAGCCAGCATGAAAAGTTCTTGCCGTTCCTGTTATTTTTCTTTTTGTAAAGTCAAAGAAGAACAGAAAGCCAGGACATAACCGAACGGAATCGTTGCCTGCATAACAAATTTATCGCCGGAAGTGATTTTCACTGAAATCCAATCAATAAAAAATTATGCTACTGCTAAAAATAAAAGGAGAGGCGGCGCAGGAAGTGAGCGAGGGGTTTTTTGGGGCCGACGAGTTCCAATTTCTGGCACAGCTTGATGGCGGCTGCCTGGAAGTAGGCAACGATAAAATGGCAACGCTTTTGCATGCCCATCTCACTGATTGTGAGTGGGTGTGGGTGTGGGTAGACGTATGTGTGTGCGTCTGTGTGCGAAGCAGGACTCTGGACTCCCTACAGAAAAACGGAATTCGGAATGGGGGCCAGAAGTGGCAATCTGCTGTAAAGCGCAGAAAAATTGACGCGAATTTTTATGCGTAGATCCGGAGCAAAAGAAACGGAGGAAGTTCGTTTTCGGCAGTACATAAGCAATTTTCGTAGCGAATTCCAGCTTAATCTGTGCCTTATATGGTCCATAATACGCTTCGCAAGGATTTTTATGATCAAATCGGCAGGCCAAGCGCAGAATAATTGATTTTTCTTAGTAGAATACTTTGGCTCTTGACTGTAATTTAATACTGTTAGCCATATTTAAAGTAGCTTAAAGTGAAGATATAAATATTAATTTTAATAGTATAGTTAGTTTATTTTAAAAACTGCAAACTGTTGTTCCTATTTCCAAATACTTTAACTTTAATCATGATCTCCCAAAAAACAAATACCCCGAATACCCAAACATAGCTGCAAAATAATTAAACATAGCCGAGAATAAAGTTTTGTAATTTGAAAATGCCTAAACTTTTGCCAAAGTCTAGGGGCTGCTAATCGAGTCGAGTCGAGTAGAGCAGAAAAGGTACCCAAACGTATTCCCCGACCAAACTTTTCTCGTAAGCATTTATTTATATTAAATTCCCAGCGGAGGCAGGGAAACCTCGGCGGGAGTTTAAGTTATGCGCCATTCTGAGATAACATACACTCATAAAAATAATTTTCTACATTTTAGAAAATCGCCCTAAAAAAATTTTCGCCCTTGAACTGAGAAAAATTTTCTATTTTCACGACAAATTTGCCATAAATTTAAGGCAGGTGACCATAAAAAAATATTTTTAGGGTTAATTTTTTTATTTTTCTAATAATTAGGGCGATTTTTTCGATTTGCTTCGTTTTGACCTTTTCTAAATCCAACGGCGAATTGCCCTAATTTTTTTTCTAAAATTTGTCTAAATACAAGGGCGATTCGCCTTAAAAATCACTCCAAAAGTGTGAAATTCGGTAGCCCAGCGGTCTAATCACTTGCGCTTTCAACTTTGCTATATGAGGACTAAGGTCGTGGGGTTGTGGGTTCGAACCCTGTGTGATTCAACTTTATTTTTATGTTTTTTTTTTTTTGTAAACGTTATAATAGTAAGGACATTTTTTCGTACGAATTTTAAATTAAAGTAGTCTTTAAACCTTAAAAACGTATGGGAGTTCTGAGTTAAAAGCATACTTTGTGTTTTCTGGCAAGAAAACGGGACTAATTGTCACAGTCGTCAGGAAAAAAATATACGGTTTAGTTGCCTTTAGTCAAATTATAACGTAGACCTCAAGAAAATAAGATGTCTGCAGAGTTTGTTCGTTGTCTTGCGCGATGGGTCTCTGGTGCAGCGGTAGGACGTTAGACTCTGAACCGAGAGGTCGTGGGTTCGATTCTCGGAGTGACCAAAAAAGTAAGTTGTTTTTTCTCCTCATATTTATTTCCCTAATTCGTTTACAAACATGATTTTTCAGTTCTAACGGCTGTGTTGTATAGATCGGGCCCCCCTCTTAACGCAGCTCCCATATAAGCTACACACCAATACAATAATATGCAACGGTGTCCTCCGCCGGTGTTGTTTAATTAAAGCAGTCCCAGTTCCCAGAATATACACGACTAAAATTCATGCTTCCCAAATTCAGTTAAGCATGCTCAAACACGATTTTTTTTAATTTGCATAATTTTTTAGGGCATTTGTCTTTAAAAACAGAAAGTTCGCCCTTACTTTTAGAAA